TCAAGGGTTGGCAGCGCATCTGCAATGGCGGATGTTTATGGGCAGCGGTCGCTTTCCATTTCGGTGGATCAGGTGACCGCTTGCTCGTTAGCCACCTTATATTATAAAAAAAACACCAACCTGTCCCACCACTGGCTGATAGATGCTCAGATAGCTTAGACGTCACTGACATAAGGGAACAGTACGATATTTCACGTATTTTACACGTTAGGTTGTTATCAGATAATTTACAATTTTGTGGGACAGACCCTTCCATTTCTTTATTTCTCCTGTGATGAAACGTACAACACACTACTTGGTGACGTAGGATGTCAGAAATCGCAGCATATTTTTCAATAATTCTTTCTTTAAGCCCTACACTTACGATACGGTTTAGGCTGTATACCGGTATCATATTTTACGCTATTAAACTTAAGGGGTAATAAAATTCAAAGAAACCTCCACGCGGGAAAGGGACAAAAACTACAAGCTGCCAACATTAAGGAAGCAAGGTATGGTAACGGTATTTTTGACATTTGCAATTGAGAATTTGACAAATGTAAATAATAAAATAAAGTTTTCGTAATTCCATACGGATGAAGCCCCACGGGAACAGCTTGCATATTACAAAAACTGTATTTGGTTGTTTACCTTGTTTATTACAATTGTTATTATCAAAATTCAAATACACAAATAAAAATGAAAGCATTTACTATTGGAATTGTTTGTAAGTAACCATTGTAGTTTTTTTCTCTCTCCCGTGTAAGTTTTTTCCAATTTATTTACTCCCTAAGTTTAATAGCGTGAAAATATATAGCCTAAAGCGTGACGAAGTGTAGGGCTTTTCAAAAAAAGGTATTATTCAAAAATATACTATGATTGCTAATATTAGTAAGTAAGCAAAGTAACAAAGTAGTGTGTTTACGCTTTATTATATAAGTCGGAAAAACAAAATTAGAAAAACATCAACCAAACTAAATATATAGTTTTTTTCTTTTTCCAGATGCAAAGTTACCAGTCAACATGCAGACTATCAAAGAGTAGCTTTTTTAATTTATAATCTATATCTCCACTATAAATATCGTGGTATTGCAGTATTTTATTTGTGGTATATACTGGGGGCATTTTAATATATTTAATAATATATTTCATAACATCACATAGCGCTAGTCAACGTAACTACTTAAAAACTAATTACAGTAGAACCTCGATAACTCAAACCTCGGTAACTTAAAAATATGTCCCCTTCCCACCAGAGCCCAAAACCTCTACAACATAGACCCTTGATAGTAAAACCAGGGCACTGCAGGGCCGGCACGCCCGGTGTCATACCACGACCACACAGAAGACAGGCGTGAAATGGAAGCAATTCCGTGTTTCGTCTGATGAGTGTGGTGTCAGAGGCCTAATTTAAGTCCCTTTCTCTTTACCACCCTTTTCTTTTAAGGAGAGGATGGTAAGCGGAAGTGGATTTGACGGTTGAGGAAATGCATAGGAAGGGGAAATATCCTCTTTATGTACGTCTCCTCCTCCGTCGTATAAGGGTAGGCAACGCATCTACAATTGCGGATGTCTATGGGCAGCGGTCGCTTCGCCATTTTGGCGGTTTCAGGTGGCCGCTTGCTCGTTTGCCACCTTGTGTTATAAAAAAAAAACCTCTATAACTTAAAATATTTTGTGTTTCCCTTGCACTTTAACTTATCGAGGTTCTACTGTACATAAATATAAGATATTAAAAATATTAATAAATGGATAATATACGACAATAATAATGTATTAGAAATCTGAATCCACCCTTAAATAACTTATATGTTAGAAATTTATACTTAGTTTTGCATATAAATAAAGTGAATATATGTCTATTTAAAAATGTAGATGATTTTTTTTTATATCTATTATAAATCTTATTGTTATGTGTTAAAGATTAAAATTTGCTCGATCTATCACTGTATGTAATTAAATCTATGAATAAATATTGCTCCCAGTAAATTTACTACATTGTTTGTATTATTTGTTGAAACGTAACACTTAAAATGATATTAAGAATCTATAATAATGTCTCCTATTGTATTTATATCTTTATATAAACAAATAAATCCTCACATCATCCATCCAAAGTTTATTCATCATCAGTATAAGTGTATTCATCACCAATACAGAGTTTATACATCATCAATCCATAGTATATTCATCGTCAATACAAAGTTTATTCATCATCAACCACTTCTTATTCATCATCAATCCATAATTTATTCATCATCAATACAAAGTCTATTCATCATCAATCCGTAGTTTATTTATCATCAATCCAAAGTTTATTCATACGTGTAAATATTCTTTTGGAGACCTTTTAGAGGCTCTCCTGCTAATGTCAAAAACGTATCACCATTGTATGGTGGCTGTCTTATCAAGTTTTCTTTGCTTGTTAATTTTATGCCTTTGTTTTGTATTTTGTCGCAACTAACTTCAGAACAACTCACCGCGCCAGATATGTTTGTCGGACTATAGCTTGCTTAATCTTTGCAAAAAAAACAAATGTCAGTGTACAATGATGCCATGTTTGTCTATGCCTTTAACATTCCAAAGCAAAAAGCGTATCACATTTAAAAAATAAAATTTTCAGATTTCTAAATTGCTTTGTGTGTAATGTTTAACTTAGAATATTAATATAAGGATGTATGAATTAATAATTTGTCCCCCGGGGCATCGATAATGTTATTTTTCTTGAATAAATTCTGTGATAGATGGACATTTGAATGTTGTTTCATTTTATAACCTATAATTTAAGAATAATATAACCTAAAATGAGTCTTAGAACTTTTGACTTGACATAACTAAATAACGTATTGCAAAAAGCTTCGGGTTAACGGATGATAAAGTACTCGTGTATCAAATAAACCACTTCGAGTTTTTACTTTCGTTGTAGTTTTAGATATATGGTGATTTTTATAGAATTAGGTACATTTTCAAAAAATTAATCTATCGAGAAAAGTTTGTTCAATCTTGATTCTGTTCTACGAGACTTTAGTTAAAGGACTGAAGTTACACATACTAAAATATCACGAATCAAATCTTTGTAGAAATCCTGTTCTATGCTTCCAAGGATGCGCTATTTGCGAAAACAGCGCCTTAATGTTGGAATGTGTTTTATTTACAAATAGAATATCTTTGCATCTTCAAAGGCCGCTACATACTTCTAAATGAGCAGATTTACTGGCAACTAACTTCGTAACTCTAACTGAACAGTTAAACTGACAAAATTCTGCTTACACACAATTTTGACTGAACAAATCGACCCTTTAGTTGGGACTGACCGTAATTTGCAGTCTTTCAAGTGCCACTGCAGTTGATACCCTCAATAGTGCCCACTAATCTCTACAAAGACGCATAGCCTTAGATAGGGGGTGGCATTGTGGGTATTGCCCTGACAAGAAAAACAAAGTTAAATGCCCTACCGTTAATTCGACTGTAGTTATTGCTTTGCAAGCAACGCAATACAGCGACATAACCGTATTGTGTCAACAAACGATTTCTCCCGAGCACCGTTTAGTCTGCAAATCGTCAAGGTAATCGTACAGTTGGTGTAGTAAATAAATTGGATTTAAGATTTGTATTTTCCTATATATTGAAATAACTCAAAAACTACTGGGACGATTTAAAAAATTCTTTCACCATTAAAAACCTACGTTATTAGTGAGTAACGTAGACTATAATTTTTAGTATTTTTTAATTTCTAGCAGTCGAAGTCGCCAATAACAGTTACTAATATATTCTCAATCGATATCTATCTAAAATGATTACCTTAGTCATAAGGTCGCGTCATACTGTTAAAAACTACGTATTTATCGAAACCATTATTGGACTTCGCTTACGTTATCAGTTTACTAGTGAATTCGTATCAGTGATAACGTGGTATTGAGTAAAATATGTCTCAGGTAAGTTGAAATTTATTTCTAATAAAAAATGACATTTACAAAGGTTTAATGCTTACAAATGATTTATACACATTTTCGCTAACCAGTATCCTAATTAAAGTTTCATATTTTTTAATCTGTTTTAGTAAATCTTTCGACAGTTCTATGACTCAACCATAATTAATAATTGATATTGTATTGTTTTACGGCTAATGTACTTAAAATATTTTGTGATAACTAGTGAAAAATGTTGTTTTATTTCTTTTTATAATCTCTAAAAAAACACTTGATATCTACATTTGCAAATTCTACCTGCCCTTGTGCTTATAGAAGGTCGGCACAATATTACTTTGAATACATCTCCATCAACCTTCATGTCTGAATTCACTCCCTTACCCATATCCCCTTATTACCAACTTTATGGACTATAGGTCAATAGTTGTTGTTTTGACTAATTACATTAAACATTTGAATACAGACAAGAAAAAAACCCGGATGTTAAGAATATGCTGTTTTGATCTTCCGGTCGTAGGTACAAAACCCTACATCCTATTATTGTCGTGAATCATATCCTAGCACGAGCTCAAAACCTATTTAACAGACAACAATAAACATTGTTTACTAATCTAGTAATTTCTTTACAAAAAATATAGCCAGCGTTGTTTAATAACAAAATATGCTTCAATATGAACAAAATAACAACGATTTAGACAAACTACGCCAGAGACCACAATTAGACGTTGATATTTCTTATTTTAGCCTACGGGGTATGTTCCTCCACAGAGCTTCGGAGAAGATGGCCACGTGCAGGGGTTCGACTTCACAGAACAGAGCATACGAAGAGGTTTTATACGAAAGGTACTTTCTAACTATAATGATATATTGAACAGTAAACTGCACATATCTGTGAAGAAATTCAAAGTGTGTCAACTCGCACTGGACCACCTTCGTTGACTATGGCTTTATTGCCCTAAATTACAATCATAGTTTCCTATTACCTATTACATTATGAAAATATTATAATTACATACATTTTCAACCGTCTGATTGCCCCCGAAGTCCGAAGAACGTAACAATTTTAATATTGTCGCAGTGAATACACACAATTACTTGGCCGGTGACCAAGGTGAAAAGGAAAGGCAATAGCCCCCCTCTGGATAAAGGAAAAAATTGTAAAATTAGAGAGACCTATTATGTGTGCCGTTAATGATCGGCCTGCCCTTCCTTAACCGTCAACCTTGCCCTACATAATCGCCGGTACTGATAACAATGCATAGGAGTCTACAGACGATGACATAGAGGAGGAGGAGTTTTTTTTAACAGGTAACTGCTGCCTGGGCAAAGGTACACCCAAAGCATCCAATCGCTACGGAAGTCTGCTGCCTAGGCCTTGTGATAACTATTGTGAATTTGTTTAATAATTTTTATCCGACTGTGTTGTAAAATTCCACGTGTGTAAAAAAAACAATAAAAAAAAACCTTCTCCCCTCCAGATAAACGTCGTAATGCATTGTTATCAGTACTGGCGTTTGGGTAGGGCAAGGTGAGGCAACTGTCAAAGGTGCTGGTAATGCTAAAATCGGCTCTGATTTATTTCAGGTGTACTCTATCCTTATGTGCCAGTTGTTGATTACGATGGGCTTCATAGCGTTATTCCTCTTCCACGAACCTACAAAGCGCTGGGTATCGCAACACAATTATTTATTGTAAGTTTTTTTTAAAAACAAGTTGACTTATTATTTTAGGAAATGTTACAAATGCATGAACGAACGTTTGGAGGTAACTCGGAACGGCTAAATGGATCTAAATGATTGGCACAGAAACATAATGCTGTGTGGAATAGCGTATAAGATACTTGCTAATTTCTTTTTCACAAAGATTTTCACGACATCGCGAGCAAAAGTTACTTTTAGGACATTCTTTATAGCAAACAAATAATCGATCACCTAATTTCTTTTTTTTGAATGGGCGGCCCCATGCCGCTCTCTTGTACCCCTGACATGTATGATCAGGTATTTTCGGTACGTTTATAACGAACCGAACCCAGAACCTAGTACCAGCCGTGTTATATGCGAGAGGGGGGACCGCCCACGACAGTGGAAATGGCGCGTTTTTTTCGTATGTATGGGCTTGTATTTAAAATGTGCCGTTAACTGTAGTTTACGCTTCAATTGCTTCAACTTTGTACCACCGATGCATACATTTATATTATACTAGCTGTTCCCGTGCTGCTTCATCCGCATGAAATTGTGAAAACTTTATTTTATTGTTTGCATTTGTCAAATTATCAATAGCAAATGTCAATATTACATGACATGACTAACCTTGACAGTCTTCCTTCCTTGATGTTGGTAGCAACTTATGGTCTCTTTCACATTAGGATTTTTATCCGAAATGTTTACCCCCTAAGTTTATTAACGTGAAAATATATAGCCTAAAGCGTGACGTAAGTGTAGGGCTTTTTATTAAACGAAGAATTATTCAAAAATATGCTGTAATTGCTGACATCTTAGGCAACAAAGAAGTGTGTGTTTACGCTTCATTATAATAGTATAGAAGTATGTATTTAAATTAATGTGTTGTTACAGATGGGTCGCCATAGCGGTTGTGTTCGTGTGTATAATAGTCATGTCGTGCTGTCCGGACGTGAGGCGGACTGCGCCCACAAACTTCATCTTCTTGTTTGTGTTCACGTTGGCGCAGAGCTTCATGCTGGGCGTCGTCACCAGCATTTACAGCGTCTCTGAAGTTAGTAAATTAGTTTTTGTTAAATATCAAACCATGAGTAAATCTCGTAATAAATGTATACAGTAATATTTGTATTACCGCTGTATACGTTACACCTCAAACACGAATTATAAATGATTATTTAGGTAATCCTGGTTTTCCGAAGTAAAAACATGAATACAAGAGTTAAATTGTAAATTTTGAACCGTGAATTAAATCCATTGTAATGGGTGATGCAAGAAAAACACACTACACAGAAGACAGGGGTCAAATGAAAGTGGTTTCGCGATTCATCTGACTAGTCGATGTGCTGGAGACCAATTCTAATCTTAGCATCCAAATCCTTATAAGACAGGATTTAACAGGGAAGTGGATGTATCATCATCATCATCATCACTAGCTCACTATACGTCCCCACCGAGGGGCTCGGAGCCTACCCTAATATGGGGTGACTAGGCCATAGTCAACCACGCTGGCCAAGTGCGGGTTGGTTCACTTCACACATATCTTTGAATTTCTTCGCCGATATGTGCAGGTTGCATCACGATGTTTTCCTTCACCGTAAGAACGTCGGGTAAATTATGTACATATGAAAAATCGAAAATCACATTGGTACATGGCGGGATTCTAACCCAAGACCTGTAGATTACAAGTCAAGTGTTCAAAAAGTGGATGTAGAGGAAGAGATAATATCCTTTTTCTGTATGTCCCCTCTTTTGTGTATTAAGGAGCAGGGTACTGTGTCACCGTTTACAATTTCCAGGTGATGATGGCAGTCGGTATCACCGCGGGCGTTTGTTTGGCGCTCACATTATTCGCCTTCCAGACAAAGTGGGACTTCACTATGATGGGTGGTGCTCTGGTCGCAGCTTCTATGGTGCTGCTTCTCTTCGGTATGACATTATTATTCTTCCTACCTAGTCGGCGCAGTATGTACAGTCGCGGACAACCGCGGTGTTCAACTTAAAAAAATATTGCCTTGTTCATAGCAACGAGACAAACTCCGCCTCTGACAAATAACCACAACTATAACAGTGAGTGGTATCCCTAACTTATTACCCCTGACTTTATTCGTGCACACACATTTACAAGTTGCATTGTTATGATTGTTTAAAATGTTCTAAAGATTGTAGCGTTAGAGATGGTACACCGCTAGTTTCCCTGATTGTACTAATACATCTCTATCAGCCGTCAAATCTTACTTTCCTAATGCATATCGTTCACACAATCTATGCATAATTTCTTCATTCTTCGTCTACTTTACGTTACAGCACTGAAATAAATGTTTATTTAGATTATTATCTACAATTGAAGTGGATTGTAAGAAATTAGACCTTTCGAAGCACTGAGTCTTCCGTTTCCCGGTTTTTAACAAATATTTCTGGGTCGGTTCTCAGTTAGAGCGGGCACACACCTTTGATTAAACATTCGCACAACTGTGGTGCGATTGTCGATTGTTTCGCAGCTAATCCAACCTTTAAATTACACAACTAAAAATCGAATAGTATGCGCCATATTAACTCATAGTAATCAAAGCGTGACTAAACAGTTGTGCGATAGTTTCAGGTGTGCGCTCTTAGTATTTCTTCTTAATTTTCAGGACTGATTGCAATCTTCCTGCCGAGAAACAACATACTGACGCTGGTTTACGCATCCGCGGGGGCACTGCTGTTCTCACTCTATCTTGTCTATGACACGCAACTTATGATGGGAGGGAAACATAAATACAGCCTATCCCCTGAGGAATATATCTTCGCAGCTCTTAACCTTTATTTGGACATTGTTAATATATTCCTATTCATTCTGACAATTATAGGATCGTCTAAATAATTATATGTTTAGTTTCAATCTAAAACAAAAAGACGAGCTGTCGCCCGCAAACTTTGTTAGCGCAAATTTGGACCACCCTTTACGCCATTTTGACAGCGCGGAATTTAAAAAATTTAGCCTATACTCGTAATATGCCCGTCTATGTCAGCAACCTTTCAGTGAAAGTCTCGTCGAATTCAGCTCAGCCGTTTTGGTGATTAACCGAAAATAACGCGGCTTGAGGACAGACAGACGCAGACATTTTTTTTTTAATTCGGTTTTACAAACAGACACTCCAATTTTATTATTTGTATAGATATAGATACTGTCAAGTCAAATACGAATTTAAAAACTTTATTTCTTCTTATGTGTTTGCCTTTTAGCGAACTTTGTTCCATCAAACACCCATCCATCCAATGCCAAAGTTTGCATTTATAACGTTAATAAGATCAGTGAGATTATAATATTAAATTAAAAGACATTTCTACAAACTTTTTGTTTTATATTGGGATTACTAGTACTACACATTTTTTCACTGCTCGTTAGTCAAATCAAGCACTTTTTGTTTTATATCAAGCCTCTCTTTCTCTCCTCCATATAATAGAGCGAGAGAGATATATAATAAGCTATTTAATTATACGATGTACTGACAATGTTATGTATTCATAGTTTGTTCATATTTAATTAAACCTGTGATAAAGTCTTAAATGTATTTATTTATATTTACTTGGTCTCACGTATGGTTAGCAACAATACTAATAAATACTTCCATCATTATTAGAGCAGGCGAACACCTTTGACTAAACTATCGCACGTCCATAACCTCAAAGCAATCAAAAAGAGACTAAACAGTAGTGTTATAGTTTAAAGGCTCCGGCTCTTAAGAATATTACGTTTAAAATATTGATATAATGATTCGTGCACAAAACACAGTAGACGTGAGAACGATTTTTTTTAATAGTGAAAAAGCCGAATTAGAATCTCAAGCGCCATAACTTTTTTTTCCATTTCTAAAATTTATTGTATCTAAAAAGTTTGAATGCATTTTTAACATCATCAGCCTTTATGCCTAATGTTGGAGATTCAACAACATATAAGTGAAAATATTCTAAAGAAAGTGATTATTTACATGATCTATTGACCAAAGTGAACCGATTATCGCTTGTTAGTAATTAATTCTTGGTATATACACGAATGATAGATACCGAGGTAATCAGAGACGAATTCAAGTAGACATTTAGCTGTAAATTCAAATCATAAAATCGTTACCAGGAGATTTACAACGCAAGCGCTAGCCTAGCTAAATATAGAATAGCCACCCGAAGCAAAGTGCGTCGATCGATACTGCAGCTGGTAGGTGATAGGTTACGGTTCTTCCCAGAACTTATCATAAATAGTTGCCAGGCAAAAGGTAAGCGAATGATTTTTTACATAAAATGTATTCTCGTATATTAAAAAATCGGCTATAAAACGAAATTTGTATAAATCATTATTGGTGCATGCGCGACCTTTAAGAATCCTTGTATTGACAGATTTCGCCCACATAATTTTGATGTGTGATAGAGATAGATATATCGGATGCCGCCGTTCTGTCGCCGGCACAGCTTGTTGCTTCGTCGCTCGTTCATTCACTCTCGGCCAGCTCGCCGGCCGATTTTGCCAAGTTTAGCAATTTGTAGCCGGTTTCGAATATTGTTTATAACAAAGTGCTATTTATTTGTTTAATTTGTGCTTAAGCTTAAAAGCTTGGAAATCATTAAAGTGCAACTGGAATATAAATACGTAAGTAAGCGAATTTGCAACATACGCATTTCTTTTTTTAGTCCCAGCTTTCGTTCATAAGTTTTCACCATATTGAACTGTGATACTTTAAAATATAGATTACTATTTGTTTATTTTAACACTATCTATTATTCATTATGATTTATTTAATTACTAATGTTTTTCGAAATCTGTTCGCAAATTTTTATTATTATATTTTAATTAATCGAACTCGACATTTCCTGTGATGTCTAGCTTAAAATAATGTGAAAGCATAATGTAAGCAGAGTTTGATAAAAAAACAAAAGTTTTTGCAAATACTCGTAGCTCAGCGCGCCCTGAGATCATTGTACGCATTTCATTATATTATTTAGAATGCATTTATGCAGTGTTTTAACATTTTTTTATACAATGTTTTCAATTAACTTGATAACCGATAGCAGACAATTGTTTACATACTTAAATATTACACGAAATCTTCAAAATGATATAAATGTACACCAGAACAAAAACATTCAATACGATTTCTTGTTTTTTAGGTGAAAAATGGCGACCGCTGGTCCATATACGATACATGTTGAAAACAAAAACGAACCACCGCCACCATACGGCATGGTTGGATCTTACATGCCTTCGAATGATGCAGAATTTAAACAGGACCTAAAACCTGACGCTGCTCCACAAACAGCAAATAATACGGTAAGATTTTCTAAATACAAAAACAACGGTAACATAAATGACGTCAAAATTCTGCCTGATTGTATACTAATATTATGATTTGTATTTCTTGAGATAAATGAAAAACTACTGGGTCTATTTCAAAAATTCTTTCACTATTAAAAAGCTACGATATCTGACAGTAACACAGGCTATATTTTTTGTTGTTTTTGTAATTCAATGCAATGCATAATTAAACAAATAGTGACTAATATTATGAGAAACGGAAAACCACGACACCCGTTATCAGTTGGAAACTATAGTGTTATAGTCCAATAGTTGTATAAACACTAATTGTAGTTACAGGATACCTAACATATTTATTGTAATACTTTAGCCCGCGACTACGTCCGCGTGGAATTTGAAAACAAAAGTCAGTAGCCTATGTGTTCTTCCAGACTATCCTCTACATCTATGCCAAATTTCAACGAGATCCGTTCAGCTGTTTAGGCTACAAACTAACAAACATCCATCTAAACTTTCGCATTTATAATATTACTAATATTAGCGATACGCTCGCAAAATACGTGAACTGATTGACGTCAATAATGAGATAAAAGTTATCTCAAAATTTTTAGTTGCACCAAATTGCACATGTTTTTAAAATTTCATCACAGTCGTAATGATTACTCAGAATTCTCCGACTCACCTTCCAATAACAGAAAATAGTAAAGTTATTTATTTCTTAATTATAATCAATACTAATATAAAAAGGAAAGATTTGTATTTTTGTATTTATTGAAATAACTCAAAAACTACAGGGTCGATTTAAAAAAAAATTCCACCTTTAGAAAGGTAATTTATCTGTGAGTAATATCGACCATATTTTTTAATTTCACGCAGGCGAAGTCACGAGGAACAGCTAGTTAATTTACACAAAGTATTAACTATGAATACCCCTTCGGGCGTGTAATATGAGTACAGAGAAACAAACTTTTGTGAATAATAATACAATGCAATTAAAACAAAAAACATCTATAGCTAGAAAGAAAAGTTTGATTTAAATTATTGCTTTCTGGTGAAGAGTTAACGTTATATGTTGACTGTTATTAACTTGCTGTTGCACGCGACTTCGTCCACGATAAATTAGAAATAGTAAAAAATATAGCCTGTGTTAATCAGAATTTGTGTTAAAGTAGCTCTTTAATGGTAAAAGATTTTTTTAAACGGCCCAGTGGTTTTATCCATCCATCATCCATCCATCTATACTTTCGCATTTATAATATTAGTCGGATAATATACATATTATTTACTATTGGCTACTAAGATAAAGTAACATGTGCAAAATATTTGCTCGCGTCAATTACCGTTCCGAACCGGTTGTTCTCAAGAATCTTGTTTCGTTTTCCTCGTTCACGGTGTGTGGGGAACTTCGCTGAGTGTATGGGTTTTATGGCAAATGGGGCCCATTAGAAACTTTAAAATTATGATAATTTTATCACAGTATTTGTTAGAAATATTTGGTAGCTTCTATCATAAATGCGCAGGTTTCAGATGTTAAGCGTTGAATTAATTCATTTAAAAGCTTTAGCCCGCGACTCCGTCCGCTTGGAATTAAATAAAAACAAACTATTCTCTAGATTTATGCCAAATTTCGTCCAGATCCGTTCAGCAGTTTCGGTTACAAACTAACATACATCCACGAAAACTTTTGCATTTATAATATTTAAAGATTTACACACCGGAGACCAAACCTATAGGTCGCCTACAAGCCCAATGTTTAATCATCACGTCACAGACGCTGTCCAATCTTACTAATATTATAAATGCGAAAGTTTAGATGTATGGATGTTTGTTAGAGTTTGTCGCCTAAACGGCAGAACGAATTTCGATGACATTTCGTACAGATGTAGAGGATAGTCTGAAAGAACACAAAGGTTACTTACTTTTGTTTTTTTTTTACATTCCACGCGGATTGAGTCGCGGGCGAAAACAAGTTCTTTAATATTTCACAAACGCTAGTCTTCAAAAACTGCACATTACGCCGATACTCGTAAATTATGATGTTTCTGACGAAATGTTTTTTGTAAACAATACAAATATCACAACTTTAACTAAAATAACTTAAAAGTTAAATCACAATATTTAGTGGTTGCCTTAGAGCGCGCACACCTTTGACAAAACTATCGCACAACTCTTTAGTCTCGCTTTGATTCCTATGAACTTATATGGAGGTGCACTACTCGATTTTTAATCGTGCAACTAAACAGTTGAAGGCTGCGATTCAATCGACAATCGGACAACAGATATGCGATTGTTTTATCCCTGTGCCCACTCTCATACACACGATACTCCTCACATAACAGATATTATTATATTGCAGAGCACCATAATATCATTGCCCGAGATTATTGAAAATCCGAGCGACCAAGAAGCATTGGTCGCAACCTTGATCTTCACCATTAAATCTTTACGACAAGCTTTCATTAAAAAGGTAACAAATCAATATCTTAAAAAAGTTAGTAAAAAAACAATCTATTATTACTTCTGGATATGCTTTTATAACCTGTTTGTATTTCCAGGTGTTCTGCATCGTGTTAATGCAGCTTGTGATAACCGCTCTTGTTACGTATGGTTTAATGCAATGGAATCAATACTTACTATTTGCTGAGCAAAATACTATATTCTTCTTGTGAGTATATTAAAATAATTTTGTAGAGGTAGTCGTAGAAAGAGATGGATGGATTGCGTGCAAGGTGACGATCAAAAAGGGTGTGATGACAGATGACGTATGAGAGGACCAAAACCTGATGCGCCGACCCTACGGGAATACGATAAGGAGGATGGTGATGATGTATTTGCAATTACAGATATGAGAGACCATCTCACTTTCGTCAGCGATTCCGTCTACATAAAATTAAAAAAGACAAAAGTATCCTATGTATTCATCCAGACTATTCACATCTATGCCAAATTTCATCAAGATACTTTCAGCAGTTTAGGCTACAAACTAACAAACATGAATCTAAACATTAGTATTTATGATTTAGTAGGATTTACTATTACAATTTGATCTATACGATCAAAGAAATGCCTTGTCTATATTCTATGCATATAATTGTCATCATCACCATCTTCCTTATATGTACCCACCAAGGGAGCCTACCGTGAATTAGGGTGACTAGGCCTTAGTCAACCACGCTGACCCACTGCGGGTTAACTTCACACATATCTTTGAATTTCTTCGTCGATATGTGCAGGCATCACGATGGTTTCCTTCATCATAAGATTGTCGGGTAAATTATGTATATATAAAATTCGAAAATCACATTAGTACAACGGGATTCGAGCCCAAGACTTGTAGATTACAGGTCAAGTGCTTACACCACTGAGCCACCGACGCACTGTCATATCTAAATTAACCGCGATAATAGTCAGCGTTAGTTAAGGCGCTGGTGGACAGTAAGGGCCGACGAAATCTGCGAATCAGTCTTTGGTTCGAATCCAGCCATATACCAGGGTTTCCAATACGTACATAGTTTACCCGATGTTACGGGCCATTAAGGTTGACCCCTAGTCACCCCTAACTTAGGGTAGGCTCTGTGATGTAGAATATTAAGTTATACAATGTAAGTGACATGATGATACGTCCACAGGGCCGTATCTGTTAGCTGCTACTTCCTCACGTTCATAGCATTGTTATGCTTTACGGACGCTAGACGCAAAGTGCCCTACAACTACATATTCCTTTTGCTGTTTACCTTGTCTTTCACGATGATTTTACCGTTGGCACTACAACGATTTTCATACGAACAGGTATGTGTGTAAAATATTTATATTCCCACGTTAAAATTATTCTAAACAACGAAATGTATAAAATGAGAGTTAATTTTTTTAATACGATAATGTATTTGAAACGTTAGTCTTCAAAAAGAATGTTCTCAATTTGGTTTTTATGTTATCTTATAAATCAGCTCCTACTGTACTTTTATTGGTATTTTTATTCGAAAAGCAGTTTGTCTTAGGGCCTGTCCACTGGCCGATAGAGGCTCAAATAGCATAAAAATGACGTCACTGTCAGATAAGAGATCACAATCCGATATTTCCATCACATTTACACGTCGGATTATTATCAGACAATTTACAATTTAGTGACAGGCCCTTAGTATTTTTTTAATTAAAAGAACTAGCTTTACGACTCCGTCAAAAAACAAAATTAAATTATGTTCTTTCTATCCTCTACATCTATGCATTTCGAGATCCGTTCAGCAGTTTAGTTAACATCCATCTAAACTTTCGCATTTATAGAACGCCTAGCTTTCGCCCGCGGCTCCGTCTGCGCGGAATTTAAAAAAAGTGAGAAGCTTATGTGTTCTTCCAGATTATCCCCTACTTCTATACCAAATTCATCGAAATCCGTTCAGGTGTTTATACTACAAAGTCTAACAAACATCCATACATCTATCTAAACTTTCGCATTTATAATATTAGTAAGATTTAATAAAAAAACAAATTTGTTTACAGATATTGTTTGCTGCGGGTGCGACATTCATAATAGTGTTGTCTCTAACACTGTTCGCCTTCCAGACTAAGATAGACTTCACATTGTTATCGGGCTCCTGCCTCTGCCTGGTGCTGCCTCTGATCCTACTCGGTATGGAAACATGTCTTACTCTGAGTTCGCATTGCCGAAACATGCACATACACTTCAATATCTATACTTATATAATAAAGCGTAAACACACACTATTTATGTAAGACTAGCTTTCCGTTCGCTTGTTATTAAAAAAAAAAACAAAATTGAATACGTGTTCTTCCAGACTATCTTCTACAAAATTGCTTATTTTCATCGAAATCCGTTCAGCAGTTTAGGCTACAAATCAACAAACAACAAATGGATGTTTGTTAAAGTTTGTAGCCTAAACGGCTGAATAAATTTCTATGAAACTTGGTATAGATGTAGAGAATAATCTGGAAGAACACATAGGCTGCTATTATTTTTTTTTTAATTCTCGGTCAGAGTCGCGGATGAAAGCTATTTATAATATTGGTATCCTAGCGGTTGCCCGCGACTTCGTCCACGTGGTATTAGAAAACATACGAACTATATAAATAACGAAAAGCTACGTATCCCTCGGGAACCGGACACCTCGGGGATGAAGCTTATCCCATGTGTACTCCAGACTTTGTTTTATATCTGTGCCAAATTTCAATAAGATATGTTGAACCGTTGTAGAATGATCGATTAAACATTAAAAAACTAAATGAATGAATCCAACGGGAACCGTAACTATTCCCGGGATAAAAAATATCCTATGTATTCTTCCAGACTGTGCTCTAAACCTGTGCCAAATTTTATGGAGATCCGTTCAGCAGTTTAGGCTACAAACGCTAACAAACATCCATCCATCGTAACTTTCGCATTATAATATTTATATGATATTTTTTCAGGTATCGCTGTACTTACTACCAATTACGACAAAATGAACCTACTGTACACAACGATCGCTATTATAATCATATCCCTGTATATTG